AACGGGATCGACGGAAGATCCATTGAAACTTTGTAGCAGCCATCTATTAAATTAAGTACGCCGAAGCGTTTTGAGCCAGTCATCTTGTTGATAATGGCATCCCGCGAGGAATAGGGGTCTGTGCGGGCACAGTTTTGGCGTTCAACTTGTTGTATTCGTGTACAATGTGCCACTAGCCAATCGGGTTCGCGAAGGCAAACGTTGACGCATTATGGGGAGATATACTCTCTCTCACCCACCCTCGTTGCTATTTAGCAGTAAAGAATAAGTCTCGAAACTCGGATTGCTCATCTGGTAAAGGCCATTGACGCAATAGCAGATATCTGCGCGTGGCTCAATCTCGATCTCGTATCGTATACCACGATCTGGAGAGATGCTGCGTAGGAGCTTTGACTCAAACACGTTGATGTGTACTTGGACACAAGGGCAAAGAAGGGGATCTTACGAATTCTTGAGAATAATCGATCCGCGTCGAGATTAAATTGCTGTCCAAAATCTTGGATCCAGAACAGAGGACGTATTAACCTTTTCTGTTACCGCGATTGCACGAAGAATAATAACGACTCTGGCGAACGCGTCATTCCTGAGTCTTCAAAAAACTTGGGGAACTCATGAGCGCAGACTTTCTGGCAGTGAGCCATATAAGCCTGGACGGGTAATTCTGTCACTGTGTTCACAACTGAATTTTGTTCCTACACAGTGGTGTAACCATTGGAGCATTAGCTTCAACCGTATATTTGACGACAAGAGCGATGGCTTCCACAGTTTTTTAATCCAACTGAGGTTTTAGCTTTCACGATAGTTCGTACTATTGGAGCATGACGTACATTCAAAGTAGCGTTCTCAACTGGAGTAAATGGTGTTTTTACGATAGCGATAGCTATCGGAGCTACTGCTTTTACAGTATATTTGACAATTGGTGCATAATGTGGTTCCACGGTTGTGTCATCTACCGGAGCATTGGCATTACTCCCAATCTGCCTGGTTCTCCACGCGATCCATGGCTCGTCGTCTTCTAACCACGCACACCCTAGTATGCAATCATACCGATCATCGATGTCGATGACGGAGAACGTCGTCTTGAACCCAAATTCCGAAAATCTGACCCGTAGATCAACTTCGATCTTCTGTTGCGTAATAATCACGCCCATCTCCGGACGGACATGAATGTTACCATTATTCTTCGCGCATACTGCATCGAAGAGGAGATCATTCTCCACATTTCTTCTCTGTCGAGCGTAATTAGCTGACGCTTCAAAGTCCTTATTGACTCTGAAGGGTCTCCCAAACCCCTCACAGTCCCATCCTCTCCACATTCGTGGGAAGTCGAAACTTCCATGTGGTCAGCGGCTTTACCTGAACAAAATTAAAGCAGGAGGAAGTTACGCGCTTTACTCCAGTATGCCGCCTCGGGCCTGCTAGGTCTGTGCCTTTCCCGACAACGGGCAAACATGTTACAACATCGGCGTTGTTAAGAAATTCACCTCATCGACTGCTGCGGAAATTGTCCGAACAGCCACCTCGTGGGTGGCACCACGCCATCCCCCTCGACTACGAACAGAGTAAACTGGCGATACACCATAGGGTTTGGGCCCATAAATCTTCGTCGGGCAGTCCCGTTTGAAGTGGCCCACTTGGCCACAGCCGTATCAGGTTACCTGTAGGCGATCTATCGCAGACAAATCCATGAGTTCAAGACCATCACTGGACGGCGGCTGCTCATCGGTGAAACCATTGAGTAACCCGCGTGATTGTTGCTGGAGATGATCCTCTTGAAGGGTGACGAAGAATGCATCATCAATCGTGGTCCGTTGTCGACGAAAGAATCCAGTCTTTGGAGGATCGATCTCAAGTCACTTCAAAAAGACGGTTACCATTACGTCCTTAGAAATCGGATTGTCGACAGGGGACCAAACAACGTGCGAGGTTCTTGTACGGAGCATTAGATTGATCCATTGCACTTGCGACACCTCATAAACATCGCGTGAGTTTAAACGCCGGGTGGAAGAATCGTCTTCGCCGTCGACTCTTGGAGGAACCTCCAATAAACAGGATGGTAAATCTCTCGCCTGAAGGCCCCTTCACGAGCAGCACTTCGCATATGCGAAAGAGCAAATGCGACCTTCTGCTGTTCCTCGTGAACCAACACTGCCGTCAGTGCCATATCGACTTGACGGTCCCAAAGGTGGAAATTTTCTCCCTGCCTTTCGAAGAAAGGCTTAACCGAAAACTCCAGCTGCTTTGCGGCGACGACGCTCTGTGGAGATGGTGACATCTTCACTCAGACAACCTGGGTCGGTAGTATCGGGAGTGACGGGGCAACACAATGCGCCACGTGTTTCATGATGGTCGGCTCCGACGTACGGGAACTCGTGACCTATGTCGAGACTTGATCAACATGGTCGACATAAGCCATAGAAGAGCGGGCGTGCTCCTTGACCACATTTTGGTCGTATCGTAACAATTGGATGGTGACTTCACAACCAGGGATTCTATAAGTGTTGCTGACGAAGGCCCAATCCGTATCGGACAGATTTGGATATCTGGATTACTTCAACGGAGACGGATGAACTGGAAAGTCAATATTGTAGCTGGGATCGGACATTTTCAATGCCGGCAGTAAATTGACCACAATGTGCTACCAGGTATAACGAGACAGCTGATTACATGCACTCGTGCGCTGGGGTAGCGTCGCCTTGAGGCTTAGCCTTCAGGTGTAGCTGTCGTACGCAACCCTCTGCCTACAACCTTGTGTAAATGTCTTGGTCAAATAAATACTGAATATATAATAACCGATTTCATTTTAATCCTTATCTTGACCTAAAATAGGAATAGCTAATTCGAA